AAATATAATGTTTTATATAAGAAGACAGAACAAGGAACCTGAAAAACATGAGAGAAATAACCCTTTAATCCTTACACCCTAAAACCTGGACATACCTCCACAAAAGCATAACCTGGTGGTCTTGGAGGAATCTTCAAATCAATGTCAACGATAGGACCATACTGCAATCAAACAGGGAAAAAAGCAATAGGTAAACTGATTCAACATAAATCAAATCTACTAATCTACAACCATGTTTCTAAAGAAATCTTATATATTATCAGGAAAGAAAATTAAGGTTGAAAATGCAATTTAATAGAGAATAATAAGGGTCGTTTACTGCCTTTTGCTGCTATCAATTTTTCTATAGAATGTTGAGCTAATCAAACATAACATGTCCAAATGCTAAACTAACCTAATACATTATTCATCAAGAAAGTAATGTTAAATGTTTAAGAAACTATACAAAGAATATAATTTCCTAACCAAACAAATATCCAATGCTGCAAAGAAAAACATATCATGATCATAACCCAAGTCTTCATTTTTCTGTTTACATGTTAAAATAAAATATAAATATAAGAACCTTGTAGAAAAGATCCTCTACTTCTCTCAAGCGAATATCACCAGGAAGATTGCCAACATAAATTGTGCGACTCGACCGGCTACTCATTTTCTCCTGAAACAGTTGAAATTAAACAGTTAAGCATTTTCCAGTACACACAAAGGCACATGATTCTGTTGTTCTGACAGATCTGTTACAACTGATGTGACACCTGGACTGACATATAACAGCCCTTAACTAACCAACAGCAACTGATTCTTAACATAATCACGACTACTAGAACAGATGTATTACACATACTAATACAGTGCAGTAGACAGAACAGTATATGAATGCAAAAACATTATCTCTAAACACTCCCACAAACTCAATATCTTAGGAGCAACTATATGTGATCCTAGACCATGAGTTTGTCTCGAACCTCACAAAAACAAGGAGCAGACAGGGTCTTGTTGAATGTGTCTGCAAGCTGGTGAAGAGATGGAACATGACAAACCCATAAGCTTTTGTCTAGTACCCTCGCTCGCACAAAGATGTCAAGTTGCATATGCTTGGTTCGAGTGTGTAAAACAGGTTCGTGAGATAAAGCCACGGTGCACATATTGTCACATAAAATGTCTGGGACTTGAACTGCAATTTGAAGTTCCATGAGGAGGGTTTGGACTTGTGAAGAAGGGATGCAGATGGGAGATGCTAAGGAAACTCGTGTTAGTTGAATAAGGAAAATAGAAACATATAACCACCAACACGCGAGAGAAGCATCTAAAGAAAGGGAAAAAAAAGCTACTATAAAGTGAGTTTGTCTGTAGTACAAGAGTAAAGTGTATCTATCCTTGAATTAAGACCGTACTAGCTTTGAATTAAATCAATATCTTGTGAACTTTTCAAGTAATTTCACTTTTAAGACGACTCTTAATCACGAAGAAAGACATCATGAAATTGAAAATATTCAAATGAAGCCGTCTTAAAAAGGATCATTGAAGTGAAATTAAGCTTGTAAAGAACCAATTCAACCAAAAGCTTAAGTTGGGTGAAGAATAATTTATATTATTCTCTAATACGCCTCCTCGTACGAAAGTTCAGTGGACTTGAAGCGTGGACAATATACACAGGCACTGTGCTAAAAAGATTCCATAAGAGAAAGTGGAATGAGGATGGAACCACTCTGATACTATATAAAAAACCAATTTAACACAAAAGTGTAAGTTTAAACTCTTTCAGAAGACTGTTTATATTATTCTCTAATAATATTGATAACAACCAACGAATTGCTTGGTGATACGTTCGCCCCAACAGTGAATCGGCCAAATGCAGTATAAATCTATGGAAAAATTTGATCGATGCTCGTGTCATTTTTTAGAGAATTAAATAAAAATAATCACCATATGAAAATAAAAAAACCTTAATTGGAAGCAATTAGTAATATGCTGGAGCTAGGTAGTGTGCACAAGATTACATGTTCAACTCACTGTCATCATTATATTAAAAAAAAAAAACTTTAAAAAAATCCAATAAGAAAAAACTATGAGAAAAAAGAGGAAGGGGAGACAGAGAGTGGCTATACCCGAGAAGCGAAGAGGAGTAGACAACGCAAGCAAGTTCAGTGAGGATTCAGTGAGGAATCGTTGGGCTTTTCTGAAAGCGGCTGCCATCGAGAGAATAAAAGGGGAGAATCGGTGGTTTCTTTATTCACTGCACATCATTTATTCATTCATGGTCATGGATGCTTCGCAGTTCTATAAATACCCCATCTTCCATGACAGGATGGTGCCTCATTAAAAGTCGGATAACAACACAGCCGTTCGTTCGATTTTATTTATTTATTTTTTAATAAGTCATTCATTGTTCTATAACTTTTCAAAAAATATGTTAGGACTTCAAATTTCACATAATTTTCCATAATAAGTTTAAGTTATATACGATAAGCTAAACTCTTCAAATAATGTCTTATAATTCTTATTTGTATTTTTACTTAAAAAGGATACTTCACTTTTAAAATACAAATATTTTATTTTTATTTATAAAAATTAAATTAATTGATTTTAAATTTTTGTGTTGAAATTTTGTTCTCTTCAAATTTGAGTTGTTTATAGTTTCAAATTAATTATTTTTAATTTTCCCATTAAAATTTCATTTTTATTTTGTAATTTCACATGTTTATATATATATATATATATATATATATATATATATATATAGGGTAAAGAATTTCTTCAGTCACCGGAGATAAAGTTATCTTCAGTGAGCTCAAAATGACGTTGTTTTGGAGAAAAATTAAGGTGTTTTTATAATTATAATATATTGCAGGGTTATATTAGTCTTTTCATTATAATTTTTTAATCTTATAACCAAAAACGACATCATTTTGAACTCACTGGAGATAACTTTATCTCCGGTGACTGGAGAAATACTTTTTCCACATACACACATATATATATATATAGATTTTATAATTTTCAAGTTACATGAGAAATGAAATCTTATATTGTAGAGACAAAAAACATGTGGGACTCATATGTTAGAAAAAATTATGTGTAGGATTCATGTCAGCATGAAAATCGAAGGGTGTGTAGTAAGATTCAATTATCATGTTGAATGAGAATTATAAAGCCCTATATATATAGAGATTTATATTTCCGCAGCTGCTGTACGTGCAGCAATTAAATACTTACCATATATATACTTAAAAGCATTAAATGTAAGAAATCATAATCATACAAAGGAAGAAAGCATCAAATGTAAAGAATTGTAATCATATATATGTCGTTGATGTACGTAAAGCAGCTGCAGAAATAATTTTATTATATATATATATATATATATATATATATATATATAAACATGTGAATGCAGCTGACGAGGATATGTAAAGAATTGACAAATTAAAACCCCAAGCTAAATTCACTTCAAAAGGACTGGTTGCAAGACGATTTCCACTGCCAACTAATATACCAATGAAAAACACTTCAAGATTAATGAAGAGCCGACGAGGATATGTAAAGAATTGTACACTTGCAACATAAGTAGGAACTAGTTTATTACTTGTGCGATGCACGGTGAAAAAAAATCAGATTATTTGTCTCGTAAAAATTAATGTAAATTTTAAATTAAATCTTTAATTGGAATTTTATAGCGCACAATTTTTAAAAAAATAATAAAATAGGTAAGAGAATTGTAAGTTAATATTGAATGTAGTTTATAATAAATTTTAAAAATGTTATATTAATGACGCCAAACTTCTTCCTCAGCAGCTCTAATAATATTGAACTTTCTTTTGTACAGCAAGTTGTCTCCTACTTCAACAATAGAACAAATAAAAAAAAAGTTTGTTGTGGTCAATATATTGTATTAATGATATAGAATGTAGAAATAATAGTTTATTGCCTATATGTTGCACGAAGAAAAAAAGAAATCAATTTGTTTGTCATGTAAAAGTTAAAACAAACTTTCTTGCATCTACTATAACGTCTTAAACGTCTGTGATTGGGATGTATTCTTATAGTAAAACCAATTTGTTTAAACAGAATAAAAAAAAGCTGTCATTATTGTTTGTTACGCAAACTTCCAAAAGAAATTTACGAATAAAATTTTACAGTACATCACATACAATTGCATGACATGATATTAAAAAAAAAAAAAATGCCCTTCTTCACTCTTAAACTAAATAATCATGCTCAACAGTATATATTATCAACATGATAATATAGTAGAGAGCATTTGTTGGACAATTAAATAAAAGACAAAATAGTTAAGTTGTTTGCAACATAATGTTAAATGATGTCTATTTAGTTAAAAAAAAATGATGTCTATAATAGATTCTAATCGTGCAACATATGAAGAAAAAAAATTAAAATTTTGTGATTGATATCAAGATAAAATAAAGATGGTTAAACCTGCACTTGCAAATATGATAAAACTGATTTCACGATGCACTTTTGATCCATGCTCCAGTTGGAATGCTGTGAAAAACAATGCATAAAAAAATGTCAAATGAAAAACAATCAAATAAAGATAAAAAAAATTGATTGTGCATGATATAATGATTGTGCATACATACAATAACAAAATGGAAGAAAATTATACCAAACCACAAACAAAATGGCAATAAATATAGGAAAACTATTTTCTCATGTGGAAAATGGTTTTCTCCTACCGGTGACTGTTCGATTTTCGTGCGATATTTTTTTTTGCTTTGTAATTTTTTAATAGATGTGAGTCTCACATAAAACATGTCTACAACATAAAAAAAAAAATTCTCCTATCACATGAGAAAATCGAAACCCATAAATATAATAAAAAACTGAAATAAAAAGTTCAACGCAACAAAGACTGGACTAAAAAAACAACGGTTCCTGGGCCAGGCCCGATTGATGACCCAATAGTAAGTGTGCATGTAGCCCATTGAGAATCAGAAAGATTAGTTCAGAACGGCCCGTTCAGTGTCAGAATACCTGACCACAATTACTGTTCTCGAATCCATCATATAAAACACCAAATCCAAACCCTAAATATCCACCGCCGTTCTCATCGCTACTCACCGCTGTTCATCTTCACTTGTCTCTTACGGTAATATTCTTCTCTGTTCTCTACGATTGTATTTGGTATTGGAAGTTTTGACCGTCTTGTATTTGCTTTTTTAATTGCTTGTGATGTTTGAAACTGTCAGTTCTGCTAAAATTTAAATCCCCATTGAGTTTATTAACTTTCTCGGAACCCCAGATGATGCAAATGCTTTGATGCCATGAAAAGATTGTTTTTTTTTTTTTGTGTGTCATGTGGAACATACATGAGGATCTTTGATTTTGTTGTGTGGATGCAGAGGTCCATAAAATAAAGAGAAAAATGAGTCGAGGAGGCGCAGGTGGGCTCAAGGGAAAGAAGAAAGGGGTGACATTCACCATTGACTGTGCAAAGCCGGTGGAGGATAAGATCATGGACATTGCCTCTCTTGAGAAGTTTCTTCAAGAGAGGATCAAGGTCGGTGGCAAGGCTGGTGCTCTTGGTGAAGTAGTCTCTGTTACCCGTGAGAAGAGCAAGATCACTGTTACCTCTGACAGTAACTTCTCCAAACGGTAATTTCATTCTCTCTTTTCTTTGGCCTTTCATTTATTAATATTTTAACCCTTCATTGCTTGCATGTTGTCAAATGATTGTTTTCAATTGTTGGGATGTGATTTGTCATTCAATATGTTTATACTCTCATTCTTGTTTTTAGTTAGGCAGGTTCTATTAGATCTTGCGAAAATTATGTAATTGTTTTTGTGTTATGTTTTGACTCATGTGTTAGGATAATTAGTTTGGATGAAATTCTAGAGTTTATTGTTTCATTAGATTGTTGGATTGTTTTTTTGTACATGAATTTTTTTTATAAAAAAAAATGCTTTGTTCTAATCTTCTGTCTCTATTTGCCCGAGTTTGATTCCCTCCTTCATATTGCTTTGGTTGATTGTAGTTGTTGTCTTGGCTACATTTTCTTTTCACTTATATACTATCAAAAGAAGCAATTCACTGAAAGTTATTGTGTTTTGTATGTTGTAAAATGAGTAATGTATAGTTTATAGAATATGTAGCATTGCATATTCAAGCAAAACATACTAGCATTTTTGCACCATATTCACAACATCAGGTCAGTGTTTTGGAGTGGATATATTTCTGCATGTGATTTGATGTTTTAAAACTTATTTACGCTCATTTTGATTTCTTTAAACCAAGGTCTACATGTTTAATATCTCATCTGGTTCCAGGTACTTGAAGTATTTGACTAAGAAATACCTGAAGAAACACAACGTTCGTGACTGGCTCAGAGTGATTGCCTCAAACAAAGATAGAAATGTTTATGAACTGAGGTACTTCAACATTGCCGAGAACGAGGGAGAGGAAGAAGATTAATTGTCTGATCAGCTTTTTTATTTAAGAACTTTATTTTGCTAGTGCTAGCTTCCCTTTTGGAAAGTTTTTCTTGAGATATGATATGTTGTTTACATCAGTTTCAATTTAACAGTTTTGATTATTTAAGAGTAGTGGTGCCGTTGATTTTGAATTGAATAGAGTTTACATATTATTCTGTGTTTTTGCATCTTTAATATTGCATTTTGTTCCTTCATTGTTTGGCACTTTAAGTAGGATGATCACTTAATTGCTCCCAGCCAACTACTAAGTTTTCTTATTTATGACATTTGCTTCGATTGAACTCTTTTAAGTTTGTCACAAGACTTGAAGTGCACTGTGCTTTGTGGTTAGTCTGAGTAGAAATGGGGTGAAGGAGGATGTATATGATCTGTCAATATGTTTCCAAGTTCCACTGCTTTCTTTTCATTTCTACCTTTCTCTTATGCCAAAAGTATCCTGAAATAGGAAGTCATGCATATGCCGTATGGAAGGGGCTGTGTTAAGGACCTTAGTTGTACTTACACGAGAAAGTTCAATTATGTTACTGTGTACCATTTATTAATAGGTTGAAATGCAGTGAATTAGGCAAACAATACTGCCTGTTCAGGCTCAGATTGACAAGTATTGGCTTCAGGCTGAGATTGACCAGAAATAGCTTGTCTTGATAAGAATGTGAGCTTAATTTTTATTTTATTTTTTTGTTCTTAAGTCCTAAATTCAACGGGATTTTTGAACTCGATAAACACAACTCAAATTTTATGCTGAAGAATTTTTTTCTTTTTATAATATAATTTAAAAAATTATTTAATAATATGAAAAGTTAAATCTCAAGTTTATATTATTTTTCTTTTTGTGCTTAGTTTATTAGTTTGAGTCATCACGGTGTCTATTAGGATTTTGCTAACTTTAGGGATAGTAGATCTATGATGTGGCTATCAAAAAAAAAAAAAAGATTTATGATGTTTCTAAGGGATTTATTGCACTACTAGCTTTCTGCGTACTAGAATTCGCACTAGCTGCAAATTATATGGTATTCGATCAGGGGTTTTTGACCCTTTTGCCCCTAATTAAATAATTAATAACCAATTTGTCCCTCCCCCAGAACTATCTACCATTCTGCCCTCATTTAGTCGATTATGTTGCACTTTTAATCGACTAAATGGGCTAAACTCAGAAATTATGAAACGCGAATTTTAGTCGACTAAAAACTCACCTTAATCGACTAAATTGTTTGCACTTTTAGTCGACTAAAGATCGCGAAAAACCCTATATCCAGACCTCTCTTAGGCTCATTTTCAAAATATTCGAAATCAAAACTTCTCTCTTGGTCTCTTTCTCTTGTTTGTCAGCTGGGAACCTTCCAATCACCCTTCCATTTCATCCCACCACCTCTAAGACATAGTAATTGTGAAATCATTGTCATTTTCCTTTATTTCTCAATTGTTTCTCCCAAATCCGAACCCTAACCCCTAAAATCTAATTCCTACCCCCAAAATTCGTGTGAAAGATGAGCTCAAGTCCAAACATGTATGTTACCATGATTTACTATGATGGAAAGCATTATGAAGGCCCCAACGGTGTTCAATTTGAAGGAAAAACAAAAATGTTGAAAATCAAACGGGGCACTACGTACAATGAGCTGAAGGGGAGGATTAACCAAAAATTGGGGCTACACGGCAGCCATGGCGTTCAACGGATGATCGCCAGGGTAGAGTCTACAGTTGGTAAGGATGCTATATTCTACATTGGTAATAATATATGTGACGATGAAGATGTGGATTGTGTCATAGATGCAATTGTGGACCGAAAATTTCAAAACTTTATTGAGATATATGTTGAAATAGACTGTGGTCAATCTTCATCTGCACCTGTGCATGGAAGAAGTCAAAGTCAAGAAGACAGAGTGGTCGGTTTATCTGCACCTACACCTGTCTTAAGTCAGATACCACTGAGGGAAATAGACGAGGATGAGGATGGGCATGACGAGGATATGGACAATGAAGACGATGGTGAACCCGAGAGTGTGATTCCGCTGGGTGACACCTCAGATACGGACGTAGAGGGGAATTTTGACGCTGATACTAGTTCAGGAAACTTGAGTTCCCAGGTTATGCCACCGCTCCAATATCCTCTGAACAAGACAAGCAAATGGAAGTGCACCCTTGTGTTTGGCCTTATACATCATCCAACACACGTAGTGCCTCCAGTTCACCGAAGTACCATGTCGGATAGCCCACATGATGGGAATGTCATGCTCCAACTCCCTGGAATGATTGAACGCTCGCAGAAACAAAATGTGGGTGATGACATAGTGTAGTATGCGGGACTCCACAGTAAGCAACCCCACCGTATAGGCAATGTGTTGCCCACGGACTCTCCTCTGCTCCTGCACGGCATCACCGCGTGTATATCCTGGAAGTATGGTCCCGCTGTCTGCGTCATATTCCACAGTCTGCGCAGAATCAAAGTCATACCCCAGTAACTCCAACCATACCGGAGCCGTCATGATGATGTCCACCCCGCAGACCCTAGACCTCAGCTCACCGTGATGGTAGCTGAGATTATGGTAGAAGGCCCGTACATGCAGCTCAGAATATGAATACGACAGTTCAGCCAAGGTCCTAAGATGTGATTCCTCTAACCACCTCACAATGTTAAAACCTTCTTGTTCAAAAAAGGCTGTATCAAGTGATTTGACCCCACAAATCGGTCGGTTAACAAAGTCACGGACAAAAGATTCATGAACCACCGGGTCATTCTCGAACAAGTATCCGAATGGGAGGTCCACAGCAGCGGGGTCATCCTCTTGTGGCCTTGACGAAGACGGATGGTCTTGTCGTAGCTTTTGTCGTCTCTCATTTCCAGTGCTAGACGATTTTCTACGGCCAGCCATGAGAACAACTGTACCTACAATGCAAGTGGAAACAAAAATCAATGAACAATAACAATATCAAAAAATTTAAAATTCAATATAAAAAACAAAACCTAATCCTAAAATAAAACAGAAATCAGAAACCCAATCCCTAACCCTAAAACAGAAACAGAAACCCTAACCCTCAACTAGGGGTGGCAATACAGGTATTGACCCGCGGGTTGACCCGTGACCCGACCCGCCAAATCACGTGTCGTGTCAACCCGCGGGTCAGGGCGGGTCGTGTCAGGGTTGTGTAAATGTGACCCGTTTTTTTCGTGTCGGGTCACGTGTCAACCCGCGGGTTCGCGTGTCAACCCGCACAGTGTCATTTTTTATTAAATATTTTATTATATTATTATTTTTATTCATTTATATATTGATATATATAGTCATTGTTTAGTATAGAAAAGAATAGAAGGAACTAAAAATCTCAAAAAGCAGAAGCTAATCTTTTTTTTTTTTATTGTTTTTAATTTATTTATTTTTCAAAAAATCCCACTTTTTTTTAAAATTTTAAATTTTGCGGGTCGTGTCGTGTCGACCTGCGACCCGCAACGGGTCGTGTCAGGGTTTGTGTTTTACGACCCGTTTACAAAACGGGTCGTGTCAGGGTCGTGTCAAATAGTGTACGGGTTAAAAACGTGTCGTGTCGTGTCGTGTCGGGTTGACCCGTATTGCCACCCCTACCCTCAACCATCAACCCTAACCCTAACCCTAACCCTAACCCTTACCCTTACCCTTACCCTACACCCTAAAACAGAACACAAAAACCCATTCCTAACCCTGAACACTACAACCCAAACAAAACAGCAACGTAAACCCTAACCCTAACCCTAACCCTAACATAACCCTAACCCTAAGTCTAAGGCACCACATCAACCCTAACCCTCACCCTCACAACAAACTTAGCACCCTACCCCTAACCTAAATCCGCAAAACCGCAAACATAAATCAAATGCATGAAGAAAACCAAAAAAAAAACTAAACTTAAAACCAAATGCAAGTCAGAATACGTTACCTAAATGTCGATTTCGCAAGTGTGAACCAAGGAAGCTTCAATCGCACCTTCAAGGGTTGAGATTTGGACTTGGTTGGAGAGAGGGGACGAAATGCAGCCTTTTAGTCGATTAGGGTTTGAAAATAACCCCCTTTGCGAAATGGGGGGGTTTTAAAAAACCTGATCTGCGACATTTAGTCGACTAAATAATGTGCTTAGTCGACTAAAAATGCAAACAATTTAGTCGATTAAGGTGAATTTTTAGTCGACTAAAATTCGCGTTTCATAATTTCTGAGTTTAGTCCATTTAGTCGATTAAAAGTGCAACATAATCGACTAAATGGGGGCAGGATGGTGGATAGTTCTGGGGGAGGGGCAAATTGGTTATTAATTATTTAATTAGGGGCAAAATGGTCAAAAACCCATTCGATTAGAATTTTAAAAGATTATTTTAAAGTTTGTTTAAATTCGTTGATATTCAATCAGTATTGTAAACAAAAGAAAAATAATCTTGTGGTATTAAAAAATCTAACGATTTTAATAGATTTTCTATTGGTGTGAATTTCGTGAAACTTTTTAGTGAGAAATATAAACAAGATGTTTCTCTCACAATCTCACTTTAACCTTTATGATTTCTTGAGATTTTTATATTGTAGTGTCTTCTTCTTCATTTGGCAGGTTAATCCTCTTGAAACTGAGTTCCGCTATGGGAGTTTCGTCAAAGCTCAAAAATAACAAATTTTTGAGCGATTTTCATCACAAAACAATCCAGAAATAACAAATCAACATGATTATAATACAATCCATCTAAAAAACAGCATATTTTTTAAAGCTTTTGGAAGTTTAAAAAATAATTTTTCAAGTTATGGGTCGCAATTTTTCTTGGCACAAAAATATATGATTTTTGTATTAAAAACAATATAAAACAATGGAAAAACAACAATGGAACTAAAACTTTGAAACCAATGTTTGTTTTACATCAATGAAACAAGATTAATTTAAAGAAAGATTGAAACTTTTATAATATAAACCATATATTTCGTAACAATACATTCATAAACGAAATTCTTTCACTAACCTTTTTTTTTTTCCTATCTCTCCATTTTAGGGAATAAAATTTTAGGTTATTTTTTTGAAATAGCCTTACAACCTTTTAACTTTAGGTTATTTTTAGACTTACAATTTTTTTTTTTTACTTACAATCTCTTATATTCATTTTCTTTATCATTAAATCAAAATTAAATTAAAAGCATAATCAGCTACTTATACCAACAAGCC